CACCTGTAGTTTCAGTAGAGAGAAGAGGCCTGAGATATCTACAGCCCCCTAAAGAGTGGTGAATGCTTTGCATGTTAGCTAGAGATCTGAAAGAAACAAGCCAGAAACTTGGAGACCAGAAGCTTGAGGAAGATGTGTAGTGGGTGAGTGGAAGTGGGCACCACGTGTACATGACTGCAGGCGAGGCATGATACACCTGGCTATACTGGATGTCTTGGCCAGTTAATGCAGGCCAGATTCTGTCTTTAGCCACTCCAGCACTTTCACAATGGACCCAGGACTAGTGTAACCACGATGACAGAGGGGTTGGTTGTACATAGGTAGGTCATTAACATAAGCTCACAGCCACTAAAGCTGCTCTGGCTACTGCTGTGCAGAAGGCACAACCCAGAAGCAGCACAGAGCAGGCTGAGCCCATGATACAGCACCACTGCTCAGGAAGTGAATCAGCCACTTGCTGCGAGTTTAGGACAACAGACCCCTGCCTCCTTAGAAAGGGAGTGACTCACCTTGACTGGGATAGACACATATTCTAGGAGCATGATTTGGCTTTTTCTCTTGTGATGCCTCAACCAACACCACTATGTCATGGCTCAAAGAATGCTTCATGTACTGACATGGGATTTTGGGTAACAGTGCCTCAGGCCAACTGACCAATTTGATTTCAGAAGAGGTTCAATAGCAGGCCCATACTCACAAGGTCTCCATGGTTCTACCCTATACGTATCATCCAGAACCTGTCAGCCTGACAGACCTGTGGATTGACCTACTGAAGAAGCATATAAATCGCCAGATTGGAGGTGCCACCAGCAAAGATGCAGCACTTTCTTTCTGGTTGGGAAACATACTTTGAGCCAAAGGCCATTGTGCACTGCATTGTCTCCAATACCAGAATACATGAGTCCAGAACCAAGGGACTGACTGTAAGTAGCCACACTCTACATAATCCCCAGGAAATGTGCAACGTCAGGGTCCACACATCCATCAAGTAGACCTAAAAAACATATACAGACCACTCCACTCAACAGCAACAGAGTACATATTCTTCTCAAATATGCATGGTACATTCTCCAGATAAATCATAAAGTAGGCCACAAAACAAGTCTAAATACATTTTTAGGGATTGAAGTCATATAATGATATTCTCCATCCACAATAAAATTACATTAGAAATGGATAATAGAAGGAAACTGTAAAATTCACAAATATGTAGAAATTAAACAACACACCCATAAGTAAACAATGGGTCACAGATAAAAACACAATTAAAGTTAGAAAACACTTTAAGATAAATGAAAACACAATATACCAAAGCTTATAGGATTTATAGGATGCAGTGAAAGCAGGGCTCAGCGGGGAATTGAGAGCTGTAAATGCTTAATTAAAAAAGAAGAATGGTCTCTGGGCATTTATCCATATACACAATACAATACTGATAAAGGAATATGAATTGGAGGACTCACATTTCTCAATTTTAGAACTTGCTACAAAGCTATAATAATCCAAAGAGTGTAGGACCAGCACAAGGATAGACATACAGAACAATGGAATAGAACTGAGAGTCCAGAGATAAACTCATGCATCTATGGCCAGTTGATTTTCAACAAACATGCCAAGACCAACAGTTGTCACTTCAACAGATGGTACTGGGACCCTGGGTATTCACATGGAAAAGAATGAAATTGGACCCCTATCTCATACCATATACAAAAATCAATTCAAAGTTGATCAGTGACTTGAATATGAAAGCTACAAAATTCTAAGAAGAAAACAGAGAGGTAAATCATCATGACCTTGGATTAGGCAATGGATTCTTAGAAATGACACCAAAAGCACAATTACAACAAAAAGATAAATTGGACTTCATCAAAAAATCAAGAAGATAACCCCTATAATGTGGGGGGGAATATTTGAAATTCATGTAGTTTATAAGGGTCTAATATCTAGAATATATAAAGAACTCCTACAATTCAAGAAGAAAAAGACAAACAACCCAATGACAAAATTGCCAAGGACTGGAATAGACATTTCTCCAAAGAAGATACAGAAATGGTCACCAAGCACATGAAAAGATGCTCAACATTATTAATTATCATGGAAATGCAAATCAAAACCACAGTTAGATACAACTTCACATGCATATGGATGGCTATAATCCCAAACAATGATAATAATAAGTGTTGGTAAAGATTTGGAGCAACTGAAATTTTCAAGCATCAGTGATAAAAATATTCAATGGCTCAACTGCTGGGGAAACAGTCTGCAGTTTCCTCAAGAAGTTAAACATATCAAGTTAAACATATGACCTATTAATTCTACCCTGAGGTATAGACTCAAAAGAACTGAAAATAGATACCAAAAATAGATTCTAGTACACTAATGTTTATACTGCAATACTTCCACTTGCCAAAGGGTGCCAAAAACACAAATGTCCATCAATAGATGAATGGATAAACTGTGGTGTACACATACAATGGAATATTATTCAGATATAAAAATGAAGTGCTGATACATACTACAATATGAATGAACCTCAACAACTACAGACAGAACATTTCTCAGTTATGGTGAGAACTTGGCAAAAATTCAAAAGCTTGACAACATATTCTGTAATGAGAAACATACATGTTCACATGGTTGGTGGCAGTACAAAGTGGTACCTTTATGGAATAGAATTTGGAGATATTTAATAAAACTACACACAAATTTTCCCTTAACAAACAATTACGCTTTCAGAATCTATCCTACTGTTACACCTCCAACAATATAGAAAAACAGGCACATGAAAAATTATTCATTTGGCATGTCAGTAAAAGTAAAATCTCAAAAAATACATAAATGCCTATATAAAGGAGACTGGCTGTATGACTAAGGAGTATGCCCACAGTGGCACAGAATTTAGATGTTAGAAAGGGGAAATCGCTATGAAGTGCCATAGAGTAATTTTCAGGATATGTAGTTAAGTGAAAACAACAAGGTACAATTAGTATATTTGGGCCAGCAAAAAGGGAAATTGAGAATTCAAGTAAATGATCTTGGAGCAGGATCTTCTGGTGGAGGTGGTCTTGGCTTTCACCCGAGTACTGGGAGCTGGGGGACTGGGATGTCAGCCTGAAGATGCTTATTCTTCTCTAAACAAGGATTGGTATGAGAAGAGAAGGGTAGAGATCCAGTTCTTATGAACATAGATGTAAACTTCCTTAAAAACAGCAAAACTGCACTTCACACCAGTTAGGATGGCCAACATCCAAAAGACAAACAACAACAAATGTTGGCGAGGATGTGGAGAGAGGGGAACAAACCCTCCTACACTGCTGGTGGGAATGTAAACTAGTTCAACCATTGTGGAAAGCAGTATGGAGGTTCCTCAAAAGACTCAAAATAGAAATAGCATTTGACCCAGGAATTCCACTCCTAGGAATTTACCGTAAGAATGCAGGAGCCCAGTTTGAAAAAGACATATGCACCCCTATGTTTATTGCAGCACTATTTACAATAGCCAAGAAATGGAAGTAACCTAAGTGTCCATCAGTAGATGAATAGATAAGGAAGAGATGGTACATATACACAATGGAATATTATTCAGCCATAAGAAGAAAGATCCTACCATTTGCAACAACACAGATGGAGCTAGAGGGTATTATGCTCAGTGAAATAAGCCACGTAGAGAAAGACAAGTATCAAATGATTTCACTCATCTGTGGAGTATAAGAACAAACTAAAAACTGAAGGAACAAAACAGCAACAGACTCACAGAACCCAAGAATGCACTAACAGTTACTAAAGGGAAAGGGACTGGGGAGGATGGTTAGGAAGGGAGGAATAAGGGGGAAAAGGGGGCATTATGATTAGCACACATAATGTAGCAGGGGTGGGGGACACGGGAAAGGCAGTATATACAGAGAAGACAATGATTCTATAGCATCTTACTATACTGGTGGACAGTGACTGTAATGGGGTATGTGGGGGGGACTTGATAATAGGGGGAGTCTAGTAACCATAATGTTGTTCAAGTAATTGTACATTGATACCAAAAAAAAAAATAGCAAAACTGAACTGAGCAACATAAAAATGATAATATACAATGATCACATTTGATTACTGGAGAAATGCATGAATGGTTTACTGCTAGAAATCTGAAATGTAATTCAATACATTAACATATTAAAGGAGAAAAATAATGTTATCTTAATATATGTAGAAAAAACTATAGATATAATTTCATGTAAATTAATGAAAATTTTCTTATTATGTCAGGAATGAAAGAGGACTTTCTAAACCTCATACATGATATTTATGAGAAACCTAAAAAGGATACTATCTGGGAAGGGGAAACTAGGGAAGCTTTCCCTTGAAATCAGGTACCCAAGAAGAATGTACGCTATCATCACTTCTATGCAGTAACGGATGGAGGTCCTGACTGGCACAATGAGGCATTAAAAATCAAGTCTGAAGATGAAAAACACAACTGTTATTATTTTCAGATGATGACTGACTACATAGAACACTGAAAAGAACACACCAAGAAATTATGATGAATGGGAGAAGTTAGCGAGGTAACTAGTTATAAATCCACATACAAAAGTCATTCCTCTACATTAGCAAACAAATGAAAAGTAACTTAAACATTGACAACACTATGTACAATTCCATTTTAAAAATTCAAGCCTCTAGGAATAAATATAATGAAGACATGCCAGAACTCTACATGGGAAAAATCATAAAAATTTTGTGAAAGGGCATTAATAAGTGCTAGGTAGGTGAGGGACATAACAAGGTCAAGATAAGGGGATGAAAGAGGTGTCTATTTGAAAACACTCCAGGGCCCTTGGACGGACCTAGTTGGGAGGTGCTTGGATTTCTGCCAAGCCCTCCGCATTGGCATACACAGTGACGGGCACTCACAACACCCCTTCCCTTTCCCGCCTTCCCTCCCTGCTCCTCTGAGCCAAGCCAGGCCAAGCCCTGGCGTCCTCAGCCAGGACTTACCCACCAGCCCCATGAAGCCTGTGCTGCTGCTTCAGCTCCTGCTGTTGACTCGTCTAGCCCCGCAGCTGGTGCCTGGAAGTCCCAAGCAACGTTCTACGAGTAGGTGCTGAGTCTGGGCCCGGCGGGAGGAAGCATCTGTAGACATGGGAGGATCTGAGGGCAGACAGCCTGGGCACACGCACACCTTGTAAAAAAAAAAAGTACAGTATCGTGTTCAAGAGGCCAAGTTGGAATGACAGCAAGATCTAGGTTTGAATCACTGCTCTGCTTACTGAGTTTTCTGGGAAGAAGGTTCTGGGCTTTGGATATTATGTTTGTAGTGGATATAATACTATTGGGATGGCTGGAAGGGGAAATTGAGATAATGCAGGTATAGATCACTGTAAATGCTCTGTAAGTATTAGCTGTGGTGAACATTATCAGCCTTCTCATCCAGGTTACTCGTGCTGGCCCTGGTTCCTTCATGGATGCTTAGGCCAATTTTTCAAGTGTTAAAACAGAGAGGAAAATTAAGGTGGTAGTACTCAGACAGGAACCTGCATAATCTCAACCTTGGAGGATGTTCTGGAAGGGAAGGAAAGAAAGTCTTGCATTTTATTTCACATTTTAAAAATTCAGAGGTGCCTCTCCAAAGTGGGGGCCAGTTCCAATTTCTGCAATGACTCAGTGAGCTGTGGGATGACTAGAAGACCCAGGGTGAGTACTGGGCACTGGTCTCTTACAAACTGTCAACAGCTTGAGCCTTGGTTTCTTCCACCCTATCTTTGATGCTATTTGCTGTTATAGTTGGAGCCCTGATGTCATTTGTCATTTATTCCTTTCAGATCAGCAGGCTATCCTACAGCCCCCTTCTAATTGCAAACATCTGCAGAGTGATAGCTACATCAACAGGAGCTTATAGAATGCTCTGCCCTAAAAAAAGGGTGATTCAAAAGCTACAAAATTTAGGACCTGGCTGGGCCTGGATAAAAAGGTTCATGGGGCCCATCCTAATGCCTTGGAGTCCAGAAACAGGGAGAAGTTTGTGACTTGGAGCCTTGGAGCAGGATCTTCTGTTGGAGGTGGTCTTGGCTTTGACCTGAGTACTGGGGGACTGGGATATCAGCCTGAGGATGCTTATTCTTCCCTAACAGCAGAAAGTGGGGCATCCTGGTGCCCTGGCCTCTTCATCAGGAATGACCTGGGAAGCAGAAGCTGATCTTTGCACCCCATTCTGAAATACTCACTCTTCTCCCCAGGAAAGAAGCCACCCCCAGAACTCATTTGTGATTTGGATTCCAGCTTTCTAATACCAGGGCTTTTACATGCTCTACGGTCTTCATCCAAAAGTTTCTCCAAACTTTCCCTTCTACTCATTGTACCCAGGCACAGATAACACAGGGTAGGTCAACCCTAGGATAAACTGTATTTTCAGTAAGAAGCCATACAACTTGCTTGAGATCACGCAATGAATCGGTGCAACAGACCTTACCCACCCGCCTCTTGCTCACCACACACAGTTCATCCTCTTGGACTGGACCCAACCAGGGTCTGTGGGGACCTGGCATCTGATCGGCAGGGATGGAGAATGACCAGCAGGTGCAGGGGCTCTGCCGAACTCCATTTTCAAATACTCAAGCCCTGGTTTTACGGGCACTCACAGCACCCCTTCCCTTTCCTGCCTTCCCTCCCTGCTCCTCTGAGCCAAGGCAAAGGTCAGAAGCTGCCAGCAGCTCACTCTTTCTAGGTTCCAGAGTTTTCCCCTTTAAAAAAAGGGATCGTCTTTATCTTACCAATATTACGACTCAGAGGAAGGCAGCAGCTAAAGATAAAATCTGATTCCGCTTCTCTGTGACCGCACAGGGGAGATGAGGGTGGGTGGTTTCCTGGCAGTTCCTTGGGCTCTCGGAGTTATGAATGTTCCTCCAGTGTTGCTTAGCCTCTTCCCTTTCCTGGTCTGTGTTCCAGAGTACATCTTGGAACCTCCACCCTGCCGATCAGACCCTGAAAACTGTACTCAATTCTGCACATTGCAGAAAGATTGCCAGAAAGGACTGCAGTGCTGTTCTGCCTTCTGCGGGACAGTCTGTACATCCAATAAAGATGTGAACCACAAAAGGTAAAGGGCTTCTCAGGCCAGTCCTAACCCTAGGGCTGCTGCTAGAAGCTCAACAGAAGATTCTCTTACCAGGCACTACAATGGATCTCTTTTCCTCTCTAACCTTCTCCTTCTCTTTGCCAAGAATAATTTCCATAAATGTCCTGATTACAAGACCTTCTTCCACTCTCAAACTACATAATCCTTCACTCCCATAAATCTCTCAATCTGCCCCTCTGAACACGTTCACAGACCCTGCCCTGCTCCAGAATCCACCTTTTTGCTGGGGCCTGGGACGCTCTCTGGAGCTGCAAAGTGTCATCAAAATCTCTAAGCAGATTTGCTCTGTATTTGCTTGCCCTATTTCACCTAACACCATCCTTTGGCCCCCAGTGTTCCTGGGCTCCGGAGATCCTCCAGCCCCAGGGAAGCTTTGGTGAATTGCCTGGGCACTAGCACTGGCCTCAAGCCTACTGAATGGGGAGCGCTCCCAGATCAGAGAAAGGTCATTGGAGGGGGATGGATGAGACATGTGGCTTCTAACCCTACCTTGCAACCATATGTTTCTATGACCCTGGAGTAAGACAACTCCCCATTTTTGTCCTTCTTTTTCTCATAGATAAATGGGGGCTCTTTTTTCCAGCCTTCCAAGATTGTTATAAAGTTCAAATGAGGTCTCAAAAGACCCACAATCAGAAAGCTCAGTCACTGAGCTTCTGAACTGTCCTGTTCTCTGCCATATTCCCTACCCTAAGCACAAAACCCAACATACGAGGCCAAGTGCAGAGTGGGGACAGACGTATGGGCCCCAAGCCAAAGACCTGGACATCCTGGCTCTGCCACTTCTTAGCGATTGACCTCGGGCAAGTTAATCAACCTCTCTCAGTCAGCAGCTTCACATCTTTAAGACTGGAACAATAATAGTGAAATGAAAACAGATAACCATACACACTCTGAACATTGCTTGCCACATATTAATTACTCAGTAAATTTTAGCAATTAAGCAACCACTTCTTTCTCAAGAGACTGACCTTTGTGATTAAACTCCACATTTTTTAAGGCTTTACATTGGAATGCAGAAGCATAAGTACGGCTCTTTTTTGTCACTAGGTTCTTTGAAGTTCTGCTTTCTCTGAGCTTCATGGTCTAGTTTTAAGGAAGAAAGTAATAGAAAATAAAAAAGCATATCTCTAAGAACAAAACTTCATCAGATAATATTTGCAAATATTTTTCATCTATAGGCCCAAACAAAGGCACTAGGGGCAGATCATGGCTGGCAGCTGAGGCACGTTTCCCAGAGGATTCTGTAAGTATCAGGGGCTGGCCTGGCATTCCCCGGGTGGTGGTCCCTGTCTTCCCCTCTAGCTTCTCCAGGAGCACCAGTATTCCCAGAAGGTCAGAAGAGCCTTTTGTCATCCAGATTGCATTCTCCTCCTATATTCTCCTCCTGGGGCTATGTTCTCACCCTGGGGCATAAGGCAGGCCTGGTGAGTTCTGCCACACAGAGCAACCTAAGAAGGTAGTGCACTGACCATCAGCTTTCTCCTGTGAAAGGTGAAGAGGACATCCATGCCTCAGGGTTTGGGAGGATTACCGGAGGCCATGTGGGCATCGCAAAGACTCGGCAAAGGTCAGAAGCTGCCAGCAGCTCACTCTTTCTAGGTTCCAGAGTTTTCCCCTTTAAAAAAAGGGATCGTCTTTATCTTACCAATATTACAAGAAAGGTGAGCAAAATGGGTGTCCTCTGCAGCTCCTCCACCAAAACAAAGCGACTAGTCATAGCTTGACAGATTTTTTTCCAGACTGTTTGGGGAAAAAATAAGGTCCTTCTGAAGTCATCAGAATTTCCACATTAGAAAGGTGGTATTTCAGCTTAGACAGTCCTTTTATTAACCTGTACAAAGGAGTTTGATAAATGGTAGCAAGTGGAGGCCAGTGGAGTCTTAAGTGCATCATTATCACTTTCACTCTTGCTCAAGCCCAGGTGAATCAGCCACGTTGACTTCCTCTCCACCTTGTACGTGATTAACCAATCAGGCCACACACTGGCCATCCATCAGTGCATCAGCATTGTTACATAATCTTCAGCCCGTGCAGCAGAAAGGCACTGAGCTCAGATTAAGAACCCAGGAGCTTAACCCAGGTGAAAGGCGAGATAAAGGTGGCTGGTACGACTCTCGGTATTTTTGTTGCAGTTTCCGGATTACATGGCTACAGGTGTAGGAGCCTTAGTAAGCCTCATCACCATGCATTGCCCAAAGAGGTGGACCTCATCTTAGACAGGCAGGAAAACATTGCACGAATCTGAGCATGTCTTCTGTGGAAATGGGCACCCCGTCCCTTTTATCTTCTGATAGACTCAGCCATGACTGTATCTTCTGATATATTGAATTAACTGTTAGATCCACATGTCAGATCCTGCAGCCTGTCCTCTACAGAAAGTTTCCCCTCAACTGCCCGTTACTGCTCTGGAGACCTGGTGTGAGCCAGGGAGGTCTGATAAAGTAGGGGATAGTGCCAGGGAGGGCCTGAGAAAATTGCTGATCTCATTCTCAGAAAACAGAGTGTTGGGCTTCCTGTGGCAAGCTGGCACAAAGGACAGAACTGAGGCAGACCTTGCCACCGCCTTCCACCAAAGCTGGGCTCTGGTGGGTGTTGTTAAAATGTGAACATTTGAGCCATGACATGCTTCCTATGACATGGTCCTGACAGCAACCATACACCCAGTTGACAGACAAGGACCGTAAAGCAATATGCTCAGCACTGGCCATCAGTCAAAGGTGGAGCTGGAATCTAAAGCCAAGGCTGGGGATGTCTTCCTCCCACGGGACTGCCACCTTGAGTGGCTCTGTTCACTTCTGCTGAGGGGATTTTCACATTTTCTTACCTCCACTGTAATTTTCCACTGATGTTCTTCCCCCCCACCCCACCCCCCGCTTTTGACTCAGGCCTCCGAACTCCGAACTCCGTCCTCATTCCCTTTCGCACTCCGGAAGCTGCCTCACTTAGCTCATTCTCTCTCCGAGGTCCCATGCCCTTTCTCCCTCTATGCTCTAAATCTAGCTCTTCTCCTGCCCAGATTCTTTCTCCCACTTTCCCTATGAGAGTGGAGAGGCGATACAGTCCTGCAGGACTCAGCCTTTAATCTGTGGGATCTGATGACATTTCCAGGTAGATAGTGTCAGAATTTGGTGAAGTTGTAAGACACCCAGCTGGTATTGCAGAATTACTTGTGTGGTGCTTGCACACACACCACACACACACACACAGTCTCCGAAGTCAAACAATGTTATTGTAGAATAGTGAGAGTAAAGGACATATAGGAGTGTTTTTCTCATATACTTTCCAAAGTGATTTATAGATTCCATGCAATCCCTATCAAAATTCCAATGGCATTCTTCAGAAAAAAAGAAACCTAAAATTTATATGGACCACAAAAGATCTCAAATAGCTAAAACAAAAGAGAAACCAAAAAAAAGCTGGAGGCATCACACTTCCCGATTTCAAACTACATTACAAAACTGTAGTACTCAGACAATTATTGTACATGCATTAAAAACACAGACATAAATCAATGAAACAGAATCAAGGAGCCAGAAATAAACCCACATACACACAGTCAACTAATATTTGACAAAGGGACCAAGAATACACTGCTTGGGGAAAGGATAGTCTCTTCAATAAAGAATATTGGCAAAACTACACATTCACATACAAAATAATGAAATTGGACACCACTCACAAAAATTAACTTGAAATAAATAAAGACTTAAATGTAAAACCCAAAACTGTAAAACTCCTAGAAGAAAACATGAAGGAAAAGCTTCTTGTCTTTGGCAATGGTTTTTTAGGATATGACACCGAAGCATAAAAAACAACAGCAAAAATAAACAAGTGGTAGGTACTACATCAAACTTAAAAGCTTCTGCACAGCAAAAGAAACAATCAACAAAATGAAAAGGCAACCTATGGAATGAGAGAAAGTGTTTGCAAACCACACATCTGATAAAGGGTTTAAAATAAATAAGGAACTCATACAACTCTGTGAAGTGGGAAAAAAAAAGCCAAATATTCTGATTCTAAAATGGTCATAGGACCTGAATACACATTTTTCTGTGGGATCTTTTAGTTTCTATGGTTCCTAGATAAACATGGGACTCCCTGTCAGGGCTCTAATCAGCCTGGGACCTTCAGCTTCATGGCTGGGTACCCGAGCACTCACCGTTCAACTCAACATCTAGTAATGCCCAGTCCTGGCCCTTGGGGTAAGTGAGTTATGAATGTTCCTCCAGTGTTGCTTAGCCTCTTCCCTTTCCTGGTCTGTGTTCCAGAGTACATCTTGGAACCTCCACCCTGCCGATCAGACCCTGAAAACTGTACTCAATTCTGCACATTGCAGAAAGATTGCCAGAAAGGACTGCAGTGCTGTTCTGCCTTCTGCGGGACAGTCTGTACATCCAATAAAGATGTGAACCACAAAAGGTAAAGGGCTTCTCAGGCCAGTCCTAACCCTAGGGCTGCTGCTAGAAGCTCAACAGAAGATTCTCTTACCAGGCACTACAATGGATCTCTTTTCCTCTCTAACCTTCTCCTTCTCTTTGCCAAGAATAATTTCCATAAATGTCCTGATTACAAGACCTTCTTCCACTCTCAAACTACATAATCCTTCACTCCCATAAATCTCTCAATCTGCCCCTCTGAACACGTTCACAGACCCTGCCCTGCTCCAGAATCCACCTTTTTGCTGGGGCCTGGGACGCTCTCTGGAGCTGCAAAGTGTCATCAAAATCTCTAAGCAGATTTGCTCTGTATTTGCTTGCCCTATTTCACCTAACACCATCCTTTGGCCCCCAGTGTTCCTGGGCTCCGGAGATCCTCCAGCCCCAGGGAAGCTTTGGTGAATTGCCTGGGCACTAGCACTGGCCTCAAGCCTACTGAATGGGGAGCGCTCCCAGATCAGAGAAAGGTCATTGGAGGGGGATGGATGAGACATGTGGCTTCTAACCCTACCTTGCAACCATATGT